AAACACGAACCTCGACCGCCCGCAGAAACCTCTCATAAACTAGCTTAAGTTTATGTTCAAACCGCCAAAGAACTAGCAGTCTTTTTCTACCGTCCTTGCTGTTGGAACAAATCTCCCCAATTCTCTTCAAGGGGCGCTGAAAGAAAATAATTCAATGTCACAAGTCACCCACTGAAAAACACTCTGACAGAAAAAGCAATAATATGCAAAAATGAGAAATAGCAAAGATAATTTTGAAAGCAAAGTCTCACCCCACTGAAAGGGACAAGTTTCCGATTCGATGGCAGGAAGTGATTAAGAAAAATTTCCTCAAGTATCGCTGAAAACGAACAAGTTTTCAGAAGTAAGTAGTGGCAAACGCTATGTATAAGTAGGACAGCGGACTCACGCAAGATTTCTAATGCTTCTCGGGTGTTTTTTCTTTCAAGAGAGCCTATCATGATTTCCATGTAGCACAACGAGTGCACTGGCGAGGTGTGCATCTGAAAAGCAGTGTGTGCAGAAAGGCATTTCTTCTAGCGGTATGCGTACCTGAAGTTGCATAGCGGTCATCCGGATCGCTAGCGGTACCCTTTTTGATAACTGAGAGTAACCAAGAGGCTTCAGATCCTCCTTGGGTTCGCACATCTGAACGAACAAATGAATGAAAAGCGAGTGAACATAAAAAAAGAAAGAGAAAAAAGCCTCATAATACAGCATATGTGTTGTCATGCAGCTCTGTGATCCTCCATCACAACTAGGGTAATAATTGTTGCCTTTTTTCTAAACCCCATTTCTAGTTAAGAAAGTGTTCGAGAAAGAGGTTCAAGTTCGTCTTTCCGAAACTCGTCTGACAGGTAAGTTTATGATAATTAATCATGAAATGTGCCTCACGTTGGTTGTAAAGATCAACATCAGTTTTGAGAAGAACGTCAGCCTCTTCCTCTAAAGCTAGCAAATCTGCAGTCCCAAGAGTGTCATTGATAGGATCATCGATTACTTCGTTTACCTGAAACTTTCGTTAGAGAGCTAGTTAGAACAGTGCAGTGAGAACACTTCCATCTCATTCATTCACAACCCTGAGCTCCCGCGTCACCCCGTGGCCACTATTAAACATTGGATATAAAGTTGCGCTGGATCTAGCCAACCAAGACTGGATGAATTTCCTTTAACTGACTGCCGCTTAAAGGGTACAGAGATGAGGGCTAGCAACACATTGGAATACCAAAAAGCGATTGAACCAACCTGATAGCTGTACCATTTCTGACCCTCGTGATGCTTCACCAATGGTTGATTCAAACCGTCCGCCTTGTGTTTTTTGCCGCTACTCCCTGGATTCGGAGACACCGTAAACTCTTTCTTTTTCGGCTTCAACTCGTTGGAATTGGCTTGATCGGCGCCCTCAAAAACACTTTCAATAATCAGACTGTTTTACATAAAATGCAGTCCAGTGCACGACTCACTTTTTTGAACTTGTTTTTCTTCTTCTTTATCTTCTTCAAATCCTCCGCCATTTTGGAAATAGACCCAACTTGAATGTGAGGGACATTTTAATCCATGCAGAAATTAGTCATGTGTTGCTTGTTGGAAAAATTTCACAAGATATAGATGCTGGGTACAACTAACCTCAAGAAACGTGACGATATAATCAAAATTTATTGCTGTGCTCACGTAGTGAGCTACTCAAGCGAATGGCAAAAGATAACAAAAAAGAATAAAAAGGCGGTGACATACATGATCGATAAACGAGGCTCGTGCAACAATTAAAAAAAATCAAGAATTTAAAAAAAACGCAGTTCACTGGGAAAGATTTCGCACAACTTAGTGGCTGTAGTGACTCCATAGGATGGCTTCAGTGACTTCGATTGTAACGTTTTCAGCGGCCACCTCTTCCAAAGAAACTTATGGCAAATTGCTCGCTTAGAGTGGTGAGGTTGAAAACTGGGTTGATGGGTACCTGAAGAGATAAAATCACGAGGATCCGTTGGAAGAAGCTCGAGCACTTTTGTTTATGATGACTATTCAAAATAAATGCATATTTCAGCCACGTGAAGAAAAAAAAAGAAAAATTTAGGAAACAACGATAAAAAATAGTGACGTGAAAAGGGTAGTAAACGCGAGACGTGAGAAGAAAAATTCATTCCTTCCTCGACATAATAAACCGTATTTCTTACAAAAAGAAAGTGCTGGATGGACAGGCAAGGAATCGGATAGGAAGGCAGCATCCATAACTTGACAGCATGTATACCTACCACACTGTTTTGGGCTCCTCCAAGTATCCCATCGGGTTCGCGGGTGGCCGAGTAAGCTTGCGCTACCGCCAGACCGCTGAGAACATAGCAAGTGTGATAGAGATCTCGTGACTTGTCGGGCTTATCGCGGAAACCACCGGCTTCATCCTAAAGTAGAGAAATCATATTAAATGACTTCGAGAAGATTGAAGGCAAGGAAACACATACTTGGCAGCATAAAAGTATGTATTCTTCCAACATCCTAGCATCGAAGAGACCTTCAGTAGGAAGACGCCCCTACAACAGGAGAAAAATAACGTTGATGTGTGTATTACTTACACATTAGAAACAACTAAAGCACATAACTGAAATAGATTTTTATGGCCTCGGGTAAAAATGGCAATCAAAATTTGCTACCAACTATCTCTCAAGGTGCTGAGTAAATGCGTTGATAAAATGAGAAACAGTGTATAATAGAGATACCAACCTCCCTAGCCATCTCTCCGTCAATAAGAGGGAAGTTCGCAGCCTGCCAGAAACTGTAGCAACCATCTACCAGTTTGTTTGTACGGCCCTGAAACAAACAAATGTCCGACACGCCTTGTGAGAATGAACTGAGATTTCTTCGACGTACTTGAAAACCTCCTTCAAATGGCATCTGTCTTTTGGAAAGCCATTGCAGCAATAATTCCGAATCGGCCAAACGATACCTTGAAAAAATGTGAGAATCATTATAATTCACAAAGAAATCGAAAAATAGGAACAAAAAGAACGAACCTATCAAGAATTACAAGACTAGCTACCCCGCAAAAAGCATAGCCGCCATGAGCTTCAGTGAACGGCTCACCACCAAAGCCTCCTTCATAAGTTTGACACCTGAAACACTCTGAATCAAAAATTCTGAAAAAAAGAAAAACATCCGAATTTAAAGCTAGAACAATGACAACATACAATTCTGAACAATATCGAATCTAAGTACCCACTTTATGACCCATTCTGCTGCACCGTCTTTCAATTTGTCTGTCATGATACCACAAAGGGCAGCAACAGCAAGAGCACAGTATGTGCCCCGGATGTCAGCTTCACCACCGTCGTGCATTGTAAATGACCCGTCAGGCTGCTTCATCCGATGAAGAAAACGCGATAACGAATCTCTGGAAAATCCTAGCTTGTCAGCTTTTCCAGTATTTAGTTACTTATTATTCCAATGAATTCGGTGGTTTGGTGAAGTGCCTTCACTTGGAATTTGCAAATTTATCATCTACTGAAGTCAAGCTGAATGGCGGAAGTGGAAGTAAAGCCAAAATAGGTTGTAGACCACTGATTCTGCACATCTAACTCACTCAAGAGGGACAGTGTTCGGCGTTAATCAAATCACTTTAGAGATGAGCCACGCGACTACATAATCCAATGTTATTGTGGCAGTTGGATGCGATTTGGACACCACACTTGAACTTTCACAACCAGGGAACGCATGCTACGACTTATTGTTTTTATCCTTCAGACGAATCCGATACCAAATAACAACCCCGTATCCCCCCCCCCCCCAAAAGAAAAGTTTGGAAGGTTTGATTAGGATGAGAGTGACACGGAAAGAGATTCACCATCTGCGACATGGTTGGTAGCAGCACAACTTTTCACTACAATACTTTCGCCTCTTGACATTTTTGAAGGAACAAATTGAAAGAGAAAAACCTGAAGCCTACAAATTGATAGCCGCAAGGGCGTCTTCAGTTTGAAGTGAAGCCAAGGCCATAACACTTGCATACGTCGGAGCTAGATGAGCATACTGACCAGGTCCACCTGAACGTCTTCATAAAGATGACTAATTATCTGTAGAAACGACAAGAAGAACAGTAAAGCCAGCTCCTATTATGTTTCACTGAAGTGACTAGCCTTGCCAATCTCATATACATATCTTACCTCCAAAGCCTCCATCAGGATGCTGGCAAGTTTTCAGAAATGCAAGAATCTCGGCCTTCTGATTATGCGGCAAAGATACGCCAAGTATATTCAAGCTGTGCAGTCCCCAGTAGCACATCCATGAACGGCTTGCATCCAAACCCTGAAAAAAAAACTAGGGATAGAACTGCTGTAAGGTAAGAATCCTTAACTCGGTAACATTTAATATAACTTTATTTAACCACTTTTGTAAATATTCAAAATGGTTCTTCAGTTAGAAGAAAAGGCAAACTGTAACACATCGAAATTTCTACGATTTTGAATGGATGGCCCTTCCAAAGGAGTCGCAGACTGACCGACAAATTTCACCTTTTGAGCTTACCGACAGCAACACACAAAGGGGGAATTTGAGGCACAAAACAGGATAGGTGCCATCACTAGCTACAAGCCATTGGGGCTATGTGGAGCAAGGATTATTTGACTGAAAGTTCTCATATAGAAAAAAAATGACGATCCTGACCAATTAATCAGCACCGCTTAGCACCATGCTTTGCCACCAAATTTCCCAAAAGTATACATACTTCAACAACTTCTACTGAGGTTTCAGCAATGAAAATCTTGCTTGATGTGTCACAACTAAGAAAGTATAGTACCCCAAATGTTCACAAATAGCGAATACTATGACTAATAGCGTCGCTTCGGAAGAAAGGTAACAATGAATCAAAGAGAAAGAAAAGAATCAAAACCTACGCTGTATCCACGACCACACTCCCTCAAAGCTTTCGTTAGATAATCGACGTGGAGGCTTCTGTGTAGCACTGGAGCAGGGACATCGCCTTGGTCTGTGTTCCCGTATCCCTTTTACCTGATCTTCCACCAAGTCTTCTACACGCTTCTGAAAAGAAAAATCACGTACGAAATCTTCAACAGATACCGAACCAACCTACAAACCTGCTCAGTGGAAGTGAACGTAAAGAATCCATCGTCGTTACAACGAAACTCTTCCCGACACGTTCGGAAATCCGATGACGCTTGCGTCATAGATCAATTTCCTAGAATAAGCAAATCTAGAGATAATTATAGAGGTAACACAAACCAAAAAAGCATCAAAGGCAAAAATAATTTATCGTTTCATCTCCGATACTCTACGACGAAACCTACGTTTTGTAGTTTCACGCAACCAATCAAGGGGGCAGAAGGTTTATCGTTATTCGTGTCGCACTTCAAGAGGTCATAAGGATGACCATTACAATGATAGTTCATAGTATATACCATTGATCAACTATACATTTCCACGAGAGTGAAAACCAATCCACACAAACGTATACGTCAACAAAATCCTAGACAAAGGCTTTGCGCCGAGTGTCGTACAAGTGAACAATGTAAATCATCTCTGTACGACCAAAAAATTGATGGCACCAAGCAGAATATGACCCTTGGTCCTATATTGACAAGCAACATGAACACCGAAGTCCGTAAACTCACCAGGATTGAGAACGAGAATATTCAAAAAGATTCGAGGAACCTAACAACTCAAGTAGAACGATATACATAGAGTCCAAAACCGGAGATCACTGAACGTTGTCCACCGTAAACTGCGCCAATCTCCCTGTAGCTTGGTGACCGTTTATCCTTCTCCATGCCCAAGTTCCATTGATCGTTCGGAGTGGATCCACTGATGGTACGCTCTGCCATCGACGTCGCATCTGAACCTACTCATAGCTCTGAATGCGGTATGCCTGGTGTAGGCTCGTGCCTATATCTGAAACTAGGAGTATAGCGCCTAAACTGCTGGAATGAGCTCAAATGGCAAAATGTGACTTGCCACCGCTTTTGCTTCCAGTCGATCCTGTAAACGCGCAGCTCAAAATTACCAGCGCCGACAAAGAATGAAGGTGACCTTGAAAAGTCTCGGACGCTAAAAAGAAACGCGAGTCAAGAACTCGCTATGCCTCTCTAGCACGGGTGGGACGGTGGGGGTCAGAATCTAACGATAAGCCGGAATGGGGATTTCAACACCGAAATCCCGAGGTCAGCTCGACCGCGACGCTACCGCGTCGACTTCTTGGCCTACGGCCAGTCTCGCTGCCTCGTCCTACGGCTCCCGTAGGTACGGGTACCGCCTTGACAGGCGGCGGTTGCGCGAAATACAAAACACCACTTTCATCTCCGATACTCTACGACGAAACCTACGTTTTGTAGTTTCACGCAACCAATCAATCGGAACGTATTAAAGCCCGGAGGGGGTAAACGAAAGCTATGCAGGTGGGTCTGCAGCTTGATAGGTTGAAATGATTGGAGTGAAGGGAAAACTGCACAACTGCACACCTTCGGTGGACTTGCTGTGGTACCAAAAAGCTCCTAGAGAGGTGAAAAATAAAGTTTTCCCAGAAAACGTGGCCATTGGACCAAAGAAGAAGTTTGGATGGCACGCCCGCCCTAAAACCCAGTTCTTTATCTTGTGATCTTTAGGCCAAGTGCCTAGACAACAACGCTTGTCGTACTGCAGCCAGCTCAATGAAACCAGTCTCCGAGCAAAAACGGGTTCGAATGAGGATAGCTTTCAATATTGCCAAATATTCTGGCTTCTCTCCATGTTTAACCTATGGTTCATGTCTTACTGTGAGAGCATTCTCACCAGGAAAGCCCTCGAGTGAGGAAACAAAGTGAAATACCTCCGAAGGGCGAACTCACTGACGCATCTTGGCGTTACACTCAAGTTGTGGGTATCACACTGCTAAGGCATTTTTACAATTCTACAAATTGCAACTCAGTTGAATAAATGAGGCGATGGCGCGCTCTGAACTCCCTGTCGAACTGAGGGATCTGATACCGTTACGGCACCTACTTCACACTGCTTTGTGATTGCGCAATACAGTGAGGCCTCGAGCAGCCAATTAACTACTAGATATCACAGCAATCTCTTCTTATACTTTCTGCTGATGTGGAACCGCTGTCGGTTTGAGCATCCACTAAAGAGTGTTGGATAGCGAAAATACGTTCAAAACACCATTGCAAGGTGCAAAGCGGTGCCAGGAAGCCTCATGAAGAACAATGTCGACCATATTCTATGTTTCGCCCCACGGTGGGATCAGATCGGGATTCTTTAAGAAGCAAAGAAAATATTGCTACCTTTGTGTCAATTGACAACGTCTTCGCACTGGTGGGCGGTATACGTTCGAACTATGGGGGGCCTAGTATCCACTAGGAACAGATATAGGCTCAAAATGCCGAGCAAACTCTGCTGATTTTCTATCAATTGACCAAATTCTCCGCACCGGTGAGCGGAACTGTAGAGCCTAAGACGCCCAATAGGCGGCTTTACCTCTAGCCATATTTTTGCGCACCGGTGTGCGAACAGATATAGGCTCTGCAGCCCACCTGGACACCCTGTTATCACTAAGCTAATTCCTCACACCGTGTGTGAAGCACTGTCGAGCCTTAGGAGGCCGAATAAGCACCTACTGCTATGATGATCTTCTTTTCTGCTTCGTGGACGGATGAAATATGGGCTCAGTAGCCATCTATTGCGCCAAAGGGCGAAATTTAGGCTCAGCAGCCGACCCTTGCGTCTGTGCGCACAGAAATAGGCTCGGTAAGCAAACTTTGCACTTTGTGTGCGAACGTATATGGCTCACTAGGCGATGTCGAAGCCCAATTTGTAATCCATGCTACTCCTCGCCCCAGTGCGCGGAATACTGTCGAGCCTTAAGAGGCTCACTAAACATGCTTCGCAAGAGTGTGTGAACATATTTAGGCTCACTAGCCAACCTTGCACCGGTGTGCGACCGATATGGCCCGGTAGCCAACTTTAAGCCTAATTTGTAATCCTTGCTAATCCTCGCACCGGTGTGCGGAATACTATCGAACCTTAGGAGACCCATTAAACACCTACTACTCTCCGAGAATACTTTTCCTTGCTTCGCATCAGTGTGCGGACAGATTTAGGCTCAGCAGCCAACCCTTGCACCGGAGGCAAACTTATTTAGGCTCAATAACCGACCTTGCACCGGTGTGCAAACATATATGAACTAGTAGTCAACGCTAAAGCCTAGTTTGTGTTATTTGCTAAACACCTCGCACCGGTGTGCGGAATACTATAGAACCCTAGGAGGCCCAATAAACACATACTGCTCTAAGTGTATACTATTCGATGCTTCGCACCAGTGTGCGGACAGATTTAGGCTCAGTAGCCAACCTTTGCACCGGTAGGCGAACTTATTTAGGCTCAATAACCGACCTTGCACCGGTGTGCAAACATATATGAACTAGTAGTCAACGCTAAAGCCTAGTTTGTGTTATTTGCTAAACACCTCGCACCGGTGTGCGGAATACTATAGAACCCTAGGAGGCCCAATAAACACATACTGCTCTAAGTGTATACTATTCGATGCTTCGCACCAGTGTGCGGACAGATTTAGGCCCAGTAGCCAACCTTTGCAACCGGTAAGCGAACTTATTTAGGCTCACTAGCCGAACTTGTTGCACCAGTGTGATTGGAATATGTAGGCGCGTGCCAGTAAAGCCAACCGCTTTGCGGGCAGTGGCTCCGGGAATTTATCTTACAGCAACAGTCTACCTGCACACGCGTGTGCGAATCATAATCAGTGCCCCCCTCAGCTAGCCGACGCATTGCACCAGTCTCGGGGGACTTGTCTGCGAACATAAATGACTCAAGTAGCCAGCACCTTTGGCCGAGTGAGCGAAACTAATTATTTAGGCTCACTAGCCGAACTTGCACCAGTGTGCGAACATAAATGGCTCAGTAGAAGCCAGCCTTTGCGCCAGTGAGCGAACTTATTTAGACTCAGTAGCCGAACTTGCACCAGTGTGCGAATATATATGGCTCAGTAGCACCAACCTTTGCACCGGTGCGGCGCGACATTTATTTAAGCTCAACAGTGACCCGCCACCAGGCTTGTGGAACCATATATGGCTCGATAGTCGAACCTTAGCACCAACGGGTCGAGACTGAGGTGGCTTGCGAACATATAGCCTCGGGTAGCCAACTTTTGCCACCGGGCCCACGCGCCGGTGGGGGGCGGGATGTGCGAATTTATTGTTAAGGCATCCAGTTTACGCCGACTTGCCACGCGGTGTGGCGAACTTACATGGCTCGACGCAAGTTACAACTACCTCTGCCACTGACGTGTAGGCGTAGCCGACCTTGCACCGGTGTGCGAACAGAAATCGGCTCAGAAGCCCATAAGAAATACAGCCTATTCCTACAACTGCTTGAGTTCATCGCACCTGAGTGCTGAATACTTATGAGACTTAAGGGGCCAAGTAAGTAACTGTGTAGTCTTTGCACCTGCGTGGGAAACAGATGAAGACTAAATAACCAAGAACTGAGGTACTGATTGCAAGCTAAGAATTCCTCGCACCGATGTGCGGAACGCCCTAAAACAATGGGGGGACAAATGGTTAACCCATAGTCCCTTGATCTCCTCTACTTTTTGTGCAAAAAGTGTCAGAACACTGTGGATTTGGGTGAAATTGCGCCATAGTGCGCAATGGTCCCAGGATCCCAAGAAGGGGGGTGGGTGAGTAAGTGGCCAGAGGGTCCTGCACAATGTATACCCAAGAGAGGTCAAACGACCCAAAACTATAAACCATTGTGGACTTGTCTGCGCACTTCGCCACGGTAGGCGGAATATGGGCCGTAGGAGACCGAACGACCTTATGGTACTTGGGAAACGCTGCTTCCTGGAAAAGATGTAACATACTGTTGCCAGATGAATAAACAATTAAGGCAACTCATATCAAAACTGCAGAAAAGAAAATATATATTACGCCGCCATCTGAGAAAGTGGATACAATGACCTGGAAATGCCAAGATCTACCGAAGGAATTGGGAAACAACACCTTTGATTGGCCCTCTGCCATGATCTTTCTAGCGAACTCGAACCAATTCCCATTTAGAATATGGAAAAGGAAGTCATTGAGATGACAAACAACACAATATTACGTCCTGGGAGACTGAGTCCCAACGGTGATAAAGATATACGGATCAACTTCACTACTCACTCATTCAACAACAA